AAAGAGCTCCACTGAATCTATGACTGAAAACAGCTGGCAGGACAACAATGGACCTTTGTAAAGACCACGCTACCAATAAAAGGGGTGTTTTGGGAAACAAAAGTGGAATTAGGGAGGGGGGAGCATTATATTCGTAATTTCACAAGCATATAAACCAGATTCCATCCACTTGTACGGTCACTCTAATAAGCTAAAAGGTGCTTTTACATAGCTTGTTTGTACTTAGCTGAGATGGTACAGTGTAACATAGGAGCTGGTATCAAAGCGCAACTGTCCGAAAAGTAAAAATTAAATAAATAAAAAAAAAAAGTTTCATTTTAACATTGTCTCCTGTGCGATATGTAAAACCGAGCCTAGCAGGCAGCACGACCGGTAGTTGATGGTACGAGAGAGAACATACAGGGTATCCACAGAAGAAACTCGACATGGTGAGAAACCTGTTTTAGTTAGTGTGATCTGTATTATTTGCCTTATTTTTAGAGAAGAAACAAAGAAAAGCAGCCTATGATATAAATCTATATCATTTTGTTTCATTCTGAATCAGAACCACATGCAAATGAACTAGAAGTTGATACAGAACTTTCGCTTTCAAGCAGACTGTGCAACTAAGATTACAGCTGATTACACTGAAACAACTACAGTTAAGAGCTTACTTTTATGATTACAGAGATTATCATCAAATCATTCAATTCCATAACTAATCAATAGTTTACTGTGAATGGAAGTGGCAAAGCTGTGGAAATGTCACTTGCACTGTCTATTGCAGGCTTTGTTTTGTAATCTCTCCATAACCCACTAGACAATGGATGCTGAAGACATTCCTTTTCTTTCCTACAGCATGGAGCTAAAACTCCAAATGATTATTTTTCAAAATTGAGCAGCAAAAATCGAAGCTAGACTATCGTGGTCGCATATGGCTTATGTTGCCTAAACACACACTGGACCACGACGTTGCCGGCTCTACTTACCAAAAGATCATGTTACATTGATAGCTCCATGTTTTCTGTTGGCTTTTCATATCTTTTCATACCTCAACTAAACAACCAGCACTTCAAAGAAATTCCACACATTCCAATATAAAGGAGGAAAGGATTGTAAGTTACTAAAATTAATATGACAAACATAAAAACCCAACAGCCCAACTTTAAATCAGCCATATGAATTACCAGTGTCTTTCTAATGACAGGGAACATCTCAGATTACAATAAACTAGAAAAGTAACTGAGTAACGCACGCTTAGGGATAATATGCATCTGTGTAATAGGTCTGGAGAGCAGTGAGAACCAATTTTTAATACACTGACCTGGGAGATAATCAGGATAGGTCAGTGCTAGTGCAAGTCATGGAATCATTAGGATTTGGACTCCGATCCCAGCGACAGGACACAACCCTCTCAGCTGCAAAACTCTGAGGTCTGTAATAGGCTGTGTTTAATGCATTCTCTTTCACACCCTCAGATACAGAATGATTTGATTTAAATAAAGCTAATGAATAGATTAATGGTGGAGGGCCTTTCATCTGCATCCGCATGGATTTAGATGCAAATGCACTTCTCTCTTTGGAGATGGGGGAGAGAGAAGCGACGGGGTGGACGCGTCGGGGTCTGGTGATGTCAGAGGGTATATGGTTTTATCAATGAGAACTCCCTGCTCTCATCCTGTTTAAGATGCTTATTTTGAAGCGCACAAACAGCCTAGATACAATCTGTATATGAATCTGATTGCTGCCACTACTATAACAAACCATGAATATTAAATCGTATTCTTTTCATCCTGGGAAAACCGTCAGGACGTAGAGAACGTGTGTTAAATTGACTACTTCATATGATAATTATTTAAAACCTGGCGTTCCTCTTTGAACTGACATGTCAAGTAAAGAATTGAGAAGATGCTTGTCGATAGACTCAGGGTAGAAGAATAAGAATACAAGCTGTGGCTAAACCAATTTTTTTTGCAAAAGTTTAGTCTACATGCATATAAAAATACATTCAGAACATAGGGAAATGCATATCTATCTGTTTATGGGATACTTAATGATGAATGATTACACACACACACACACACACACACACACACACAAAATACTTAAGAAAGCATACTGATAAGAAGACAGATTCTGCCAAACAGATTCTGTTGTTCAGCCACAGTCAGGGCCAATTTGGTTTCATCTGTCCAAAGTATGGACAGGTAGTCAGCAATGGTCAAGTACCAGAACACTATATAGTTTTCAGTTCACAGCTTTGAAAGGCAGGTTCTGGGAAGCTTTTTGATCAGGTTCTGTTTATGTGTGTGCACGCTGGGGGAGGTTACAGAGAGCCAATAGCAACAGCAGTGTTTAGTTACCCATCAGGCTTTTGTCAGCCCTGTTGCTGCAAAAAAAAGCCACACTCGGGTTACGTCCATGTTCATCTGGTTCCTACAAGCAGTCTGCCACAGGTAATGAGAGCTTCAGCGTAGCACATGACACAGGTGAATCACCACTGCCACTTTTATGAGAGTCATCCAAAAACCATTTGACACTTGAAAAAACACTTTTCACTGCCAGATGTTTGCCAGAAAACTCTATGTGGACACAGGATTTGAACTCTCTTAACTTCAAACTGACCCATAAGACTTTTTCTTTTTTCTTTAAGAAAGAAAAAAAACATATGGTCTATTGTTCAAAATACGAATCATCTACATAAAACCACTTTCCTCATCAATAAAAGCTACACAATTCCATGCTTTACATTATCACACACAACAGTCAGAACAAGCTTAAAGTAAACCTAAAATCAAAATGGACATTTTTACCTTGTTAATTCATGGCCATTTTAAGCACAATCCATAACGTCATATCATTCAAAACACAAAATTCTTGTCTCCCCCTAATCTTTGATCAAAATGTAGTGACTTTGCTGCCTCCAATATTTAGTGGTGACTACACTACACTTAATAATTATATCTTAGCAACTGTCCTGCAACGTATTATTAACCTAATATTCACCAACTGAATCTTTAGGTGAAACAGAGGGCCATCAGCAGGGACCCAAACATTGTTAAAAAAAAATTTGCTTCTCAGATTACAACAGCCATTTTGAATATGACAATGGACTGGTAAAAAGTGATATGTAAAAGTATGAAATGGCATCAGACCTTCAGATGAACTACATTTTTCTATGTTTAGTCACTCACTCTTACAGCGTCAGGCTATAGCAGTATATAGGCCAAATGTAAACCAAAGAACAAACCAACAGTAAAAAACCAATAAATAAATCTTCAACATACTGGAGACTATAGCTTTATTTGCCCCAATGAACTAAGAATTTCTTGGGGTTAATCATCTACCCTTGCCACTGAAAACTCAACAGAAGCGGACCAGACATGTGGCACTTTAGTGAATAAATAGAAACTGTGGAAAAATAAACAGATGTGGGTAGACAGATTCTTGGTTAAAAAAAGGACAAAAACAAGCATTTTTCTAACAATATCTAAGGCCAAAATTAAGTACTGTAGGAGGCTGGCATCTGCACCCACAAGGGTTGGGCAGTGCTAAAATTCTCATAATGCGCCAGTGTGCATTGTTCTCACAGTTTGGATTTATAGAAATTCTAAGTAGAGCACTAGCTAAAAATTACAGCTTTTAAATACATTCTTGGCATAGCAAGGAACACAAATATCTAATATTTGAATGAGTAACACTGTGTGGCTGACACAGTTTTCATATTAGGATGCAAAATCATCTTAATCCCACTGGGAGTTCAGTTGTATGCAAATTCAACGTCACCTCTTTGGCCATATGCCTCGGATTTTACTCATAAAGCAGCTGAACAGAATCAGTTATAAAAGAGTCTTAGTTCCAGTAGTATCAGCTCACCTCTGTCTATATGAATGTATTTTGGCCAGTATGAAATTGAAAAAACTAAAGACTAGCAACTTCAACCTGACTGTTCCGTCACTAGTCAAACTCATGACCCAAACCTTTAGCATCTTCATTTTGTATCAAGGGATCATCTCAAATTAAGATCAACTCAAGCAGCTTAACTCAATTGGCTGAGAAAAGTAAACCCTGGTGTACATCCGGGCTCTATCATGCAGCTGAGAAAGGTAGGCTAAATACCACTCTGTGCGACTCTTAGATCATAGAGATAGAAGTCATTTCCAGGGCATGAGTCAGAGGCAGCGAGAGACTGAGGCATGGGGGGAACTCAGTGAATGGCTTTTGTTGGGCTACAGTTAGTGGCTGATTTCAATCTACACCAACAAAAGAGGATATTCCTGTCTCTCCTCTCAATGGAGGTGCAAAGAAAAGACAACTATTGAGGGAAACATAATCTTTGCACATAGTTTCATCCTGTTCTTTAACTGCAGAATATGAGCCAGTCATATCTTTGTGAAAAGATGACAAGAAAGGCTCATTCTTTGTAATTTCAACTGTCAAATTAGAAAATCTGTCATACAAAGGCAAATGAATCCAGAGTTACACAGACAAGATGTACACAGCTGAGCTTGCAATTTTCAAGCAAAGCAAAAGGGTGTCCACATCTGTTTACTCAACTTCATCGAGTAGCCTCACAGCCATGCTGAACAAAACACAGTCAGTTCCGATCAGCCTGACTGACTTAAGAACTGTACCAAAGGCATGCAAATATTCACTTGCAATACTTTTTCTCCTTTGTTATTGTTTCTGGGACATCAAAATATTTTCCTTACTCATCATGGATCATAAACCTCTGACATCACTACAACTCAATTACGATTCTTCAAGAAACTAATCAATGTGTAATGAAATCTCAAATTTCATCATGGATTATTTTTTATTATTTATACTTTTATTATTTACTTTGGTACAATCCAAAATTATTGTAAAAATACACAGATTTTAATCAGTAGTGGAATCTAGAAAATAAACCCATACTTTACTGAGTAACATTATTATTATCATCATCATCAACTACAACATTCCAAAAATCAATGCAGCTGAATCACCACCATGAATTTTTACATAAAATGCTCACTCACCCTCTGCTTGGATCCAAAGCAATTGCTCTTGGCTGATCGAGGCCCTGCCAGAACAAAACTTTCCGAAACGATCCATTAAGCTCTGCCACTTCTATCCGGTTGGTTTCTGAGTCCGTCCAGTAAAGCTTCTTCCCTAGCCAGTCACAAGCCAGCCCATCAGGGGAGGCCAAGCCGGACACCACGATGGTCTGGTCGCCGCTGGGGCTAGAGCCATTGAAGACCGTGCGCTTGATGGCCTCCTCGCTTACATCACTCCAGTAGATCAGACCCTGGGCATAAATAAAATCCACGGCCGCAGCATCCTCCAGGCCACTCACTACCACCGTGGCATTCCCACGCCCATGAGCCGCGTCCACCAGCCGCAGGTCGCGCCGGTTCGCGTACAGGAGAAGTGGTGCAGCTGAAAGAAAAGAGATCACACATTGAGCATGCGCTGTTTATTCACAGAAAGACCAATAGCCACTGTCTATCAGATCATGTCTACATTTTTTCATGCCTGAAATTACTGCTAGCAGTTTCTCACACTGCCGCTACCATATAGCTCATGAACATTCTTCATTTGGTTAGTCTCGTCATACAGATTTTACAGTTACAGCTTTTGAAATTACATTCTGGAACTGAATGTAAGTGACTTCGGTCTTGAGTGGTTCTGGGCTGAACTATCATTGCACTATCATATCAGAAGGCACAATTATTACGGCTATGTGATGTCATTTCTAACTCTATATTCTGATTTGACTTTTTAGTTTCAGGTAAGTTTATTATGAATAATAAGCATTATTTGAGGCCCTTAAAACAGCTGTGTCCTTGCTGCCAAAAATTCTGTTTTGTGCATTTTCCTCACGCTACCCAATCAACCATGTTTGCTTGATGTTTCAAGTAGTTTTTAAAAACAGTTTAAAATCCTTAAAACTAAACAGTATGTTTGCTTTCTATAAATGTGCTTCCAGCCTGGATAACATTTACAATGCTGTGCAACATTCCTTAATTTTAAAATCAAACAACAAAGCTTAGTCAAAACATGTCAGGGACTAGGCCTTTGTTAACCACAGAGCATGCTTGTAAGGAAGAATGGTATCATTAACTTTATTAACAGCAATTTAACTTTATTAGCACTCACTTGAATATCATCTCCTATCAGATTATTTGGAAAATATCATGATATTTGGACAATTTCACTACTCAAATTTTATCAATATTGCCCCACCCTAACAATGATCCAACATCAATCATGCTACCTAACTATTAGATGCCCATTTCTCAGCTACTCCATTCTAACTAGCACAAACTGAGCAAAATATTTGACTCAGCAAATCAAAGTTGGTCACATGCATACAAATTTTAAACCTCAGAGATCGTGGGACACTTGTAGTTACCAACATGCTCTACGGGGAAAAATGAATGGTGTTTTCTAAATATCACTCTTATCTCACACTGTGGTAAACAAAAAATGTTCCAACACAATTTGTCCTATGCAGCATTTCCAGTGAAGGACACTGGATCCTCTGAATTATGAGGTCACTACGAAGTTGAACATCACAACATACATATTACAAGCAAGCGAATATTTGCACATTTAATTGCTGTTCAGTACTTTGGTAGGGCTGCAAGTCTTCACAGGAACAGAAAACTGAATACATGCACTTTCTCACCCAAACGGTGTTACCATCTAGTGTTAAGCTGCATTAAGGCCAAATGAAAACATGATAATCAGATGAACATCACTACAACCACAAAAGAAACTCTGAAAAGGTAGCTTAAACGCCATGCAGTTGGCATCCATCTAATCAACGGTTATGAAGTCATTTTACAGTCACACAATATTCAGGTGCCAACATAATTCAGAGCTTATGCAGGCAACAATAATCAACCAGCTTGCCATTGACACAGCTGCCTTCTCCAGTAAAACTAGTGTAAGCTAAACAGATGGGAGTCTTCTAGAGCCAACACAAGTCCTATATTTCTCAGTCTTTAAGTCATCAAACAAACAATAAGAGGAACTTAAGACCAAACTACATTGGCAAAAAGCCATTATTGGCTGAACTCACGGTTAATTTACTGCCTTTTCCTGAGTTCTGAAAGCAATGAAGAAGAGTTCTGCTTATTTGCAACTGTTATCCAGGCCTCTGCACTGAAGCACACTAACCTCAGAACTTCCTCAGCTCTGTGTCTCTTACCTCTGCAGGGTTTTGGCACAGACTCAAACCCCAATTTGACACATCGACCACCGCGCACCAGTGGATAACTTTCGAGGGCAACCTCAAGCTCTCAGCCCTCGACTGGCTCTTTTTTTTCTAACAGGGGGAATTTCCTTTTCCAAATATTTATAAACTTGCAGAACACCGGGACAGCTCACTGAAGTCCATCCAACACCCTTCACTCACTCGCCAAGTGTAAATAGAGGAAAAACTGCATTTTTTGGACACTTAATATTTGGCTTTTGATAATATCAACTTTTTTGTAGGTGCTGTTTGCACATTTGTAAACCTTTCTCAGTGTTCTGGCAGTCAGCTGTTCACATGAAGGTGACCTGGCCTCTCCACCATCCTTTTTACTGGAGAACTTGTGTTATAGAAGAACGAGCCCTCTCCAAAAAGGGACACTATTGAGAGGACTGAACACTTTAAAACCAGGATCTGCCTACTGCTTGCTCATATAAACTGAGAACAGAACAAAACTATTACGTTTGCACACTATAAGCGTTTTACATGTAAAAGAGTTTTTTAAAAGATGGAGGGTTAATGGCAATATTGTTTACAAACATAACAAATGCATTAGTGACAAGTTAAAGAATGCCTGGCCTATTTATAACAAAAATATCAAGAATAACTGCCATCATTCAGTGATCATGTAGCTCTGTAACACAGCCCTTTTCCAGAAACTACAACAAATAGCAAAACATCTCACAACCATAGACATAAACACGTGTATTTTGAGGACTGAAGCAAACGGCCTAAAAACCCTACAAAATAACTCAATCACATAATGAGGATCAGTCAACTCATAAACTGGAAACCAGTGCACGTTAACTATAAGCACAACACTAAATATGGTGTTAATTTGAATACAAAAGGAGCTGACAAGTTTGGGAAAGCCACGCCATCCACAAACCATGACTGAATGCAAGAGCCAGAGTTTTAACTACTGACCCTTACCGTTAGCGAATGCCAGCTCAGATTTAACCTCAACACAACAAACTTGCTTCTCAAATTACAGGCACAAAAACATGTACAGAGCAACTGACATGCATTTAACGCCATTTCAGAACGACCAATATTTTCAAATTCAATCCAGTCTTAAATTACCGAGCTGCTTTAGCCAAAGTTAGCAGCACAACAACCAGTTTAGCTACAACAATACAGGCAGGACGGCTAACTAGCTACCGAAGCCAGGGGCAGACAAGTGACGGAAAACACGTTATTATTTTGTGAAAACACAATACAACATTGTCAGAGTTTTATCCTTTGTAACAGGACAAATGGCTCGACGTTTCTGAGCTCTGGAAGAAAGAAAAACAAGCATAGTGTAACCTTGGCTAGCGCTACACGAACACACTAAACCACAGCACACAGGCTAGTGGCTGTAGCTGCGTTTGCTGCTAGCTGGAGTGAAGAGCTCTGGTTATAACCGGGATCCTATAGAAATACTTCTAAAGCCACACTGTTGTAAACGAACTAAACCAACAGCAGGATACCCCTGCTCGGTCATGAGCTGTCCGTGAGTGAAAAAACACACAGCCCTGTTTCGGACCACCGTTTCCCAACAGCTTTCCCAAAAGAAAGACGACGTAGGTCCAAACTCACCCCGTATTTGCAAACAGAAACTACACAAAAAGAGACTCCGTAGTACGGCGCCCATCTTTTCCTCCCGTTTTCTCTCCTCTGCTCCTTTTTGGGCTTTTTTTCAGTGCGGGGCTCGCATCGCTCCGTCGTGCCCCTCGCACATAAGTTATTTGTGGGTTTACGACAAGAGATTTTCGGAATAACTGTTATAAAACGGCCGCGGGTTTTCTCCGCTCCATTCTTCCTTTCCTCGCTCAGGCTTCAGTGGCGCTGCGATTCCAAAATCCTGCCGCCGGAGCGCAGCCACACGCTGCCTCTCAAGCCGTGTCCTTCCGCCAGCAGGAAAAATGCCCCCTTCGCTTCTCTCTGGAAACGCTCGGCCGTGGTCTATTGTTTGTAGTGGATTGTCCGGAGGCGAGCAGATTCTTCAGCTTAAAAACACGCGAACTGGACCTTGATATTAGCTCTGTACAGTACCAACGCAACGGTACTTAAATAAACGAGAAGAAATCTGTACGCTCACCGCGCTTGTTTTAATGCAGGAAAGCGCATTCCGACGGAACTAGTTTTTCACGGAATTATCGGTGATTCGGCTCAGAACACACTAACACGCATTCGCGAGCCAGCTCAGAACACGCAGGGACACACACGGATTGGGGGATCACTCGGGCGACGCATCGCGTCACGGCGCAGTCATCGATCTAAATGAGCCGTTTTAACACTGTGAGGAAAGAGCTTGCGTAAAGCAACGACCACTGAGTCATTCCACTGTGATCGGTGCCGAATGATCATGAATGACATTTCTACCTCAATAAATTACACTTTTCGTTCTCCATAGTCTTCATTGCACTTACCAAAACAGTTCAGTGATCATATTTATTTTTTGTGCCAAGAACACTAAGAAGAACTTCATCAGTCCACAGCTGTGATGACTGGTAATGTGACGTGGTGAAACATTTCAGGCTTTGCTGGCTGAATTATTTTTATGACTGATGCTAACCGTACACTAGAAGACTTTGAAAAGACTTCTGAAAGACTAAAGTCTGACACCCTCTCACATCTAAAGACAGTGTCGCGTTTTTTAGTCAGAGACTATGATTTTGAAAAGACAGGAAATCTTGCAGTATCACTATTTACAAGTCTGCAACTAGACATTTGAGATTATTTCCCATCATGCATCTGTTGGAAATATACAAGCAGAGAAACCCTTTTCCTTCCACTCTATATTGGTACAGATGGGAAGATACGCTGGCTGAGCATGTAAAGATCTGGGGCTCAGCCCAGTTCACTGTAGAGCTGTATATTCTGGCAGATCATCACCCAGAATCTTTTAATTAACCTATAAAATGTGCAGTTACTTTTTTATTTAACATAAAGATTTACACATCAACACAACATGCAGCGAATCAGCCTTGTTGATTGGATATTATGAACTAAACCATAAAAAGCAAACAGTGTAACAGAAAGCCAAAAATAAATAAATAAATAAATAAATAAATAAAATAAAATAAAAGGAAACGGCAATGATTCTTCAATGATGCCATTCTTAAAGTCAGTTTACATTTTAAGTGAATATGATTATTGTATTAAAGTGAAGCAGATTTGCCCTTTTTCAGGCTCTCATACGTACATCCCCCCGCCCCCCCTACCGCGCCGCGCGCATGCGTTCGCCCGCAAGCACTCACGCGCGCCCCTGACGCGTCACTATTTGCATGAGCCAAGACTTAAAACTTACGAAAATATTAAACACGGTTGATTTTGTCGCAGCGTCAAGACGAGATAAGGACTGATTTAAGACCATCATCTTGACCACCTTACACTAAACGATCGAGATGACGTGAGCGCGAAGCAACTCTAGCAAGACTCTCATGATTTTATCCCGACATGGATATTTGTCTGCGACAGTGAAATCGCTTGAAAAGTCGTGTGGTGTAAGGCCGGCATAAGTAAGTTGGTGTGACAGGGTGGAATTAAGCAAACTCCAGGATGCAGATCAATTACAGTCCAGTTAAAATTAATTTTTACATTAATTAAATAGATTTTGTGTTAGAAACAAGAAACACATTAGAGCTCGGCAAAGGTTTAATTTGAATACAACCTTTATTTGTATTTGAGTTTCAATGACTTCAATGTTCACTTGCAATAAAAAAAACTTCAAATTCATGTATTTAAGCTAGTAAAACACTTAGCACATGAAATATGGACATATATTGTGAAGCCAAATGGCACTGTTTTCATTAAAATACTCTATTATGCTGGCACAAACGCTACTGGGAGACTTAAGTGGGCTGAAATAGTTTCTAATATGAGTCAACATGGATAGAAAGGCATATTATTTAAGCTGTAACCTGGCCTTTACCAGGGCTGGCTTTTTTAGGACCCAGGCAGCATGTTTGGGGCCCTCCTCTTGCTAACTGATGTACTGTCAAATTAGAGGCTAACTAATAACAGTGACTACCACAAGCTGTCTAAGTAATATAAATTTATATCTGGCTAATTGTGTATTACTGATGATTGGATGCTCATTTGGATTCTGATAAGTTACAATTTAAATTACAGATAACCTTCTCAGCATTCTTGATCCAGGAGTCTGTCTCACAACGCGGTATTTCTTGCATACCCAGCTAACTTTAAGCTTAGTTTGATAGAACTGTGATAACATTTCCTTTTCAGTGTTATAAATGCTCTACTTTCAACATGTTTACGTAGTATGACCTCTTTTTCTTTCTTTGTCGACTCCTCCTCATTGTCCCACGCAATCGGCTGTTCATCATAAACATTACACTTTCATGTGCACACAGGAATTAATCGCTGCCTGGGTATCTAAACCTGTGTTAAGTGAGAAAGTTCTTAGTTGTTGTTGTGTTTGATTTTGATTTTATGAAGCCGAGTCAGAAAGCCTGTTTAAGTTAAACCTATGTCAATTGACAGACCCCCAATCAACTGCTTCTTGTTGTGCAACTACAAGTCAAAACAAAGGTTCACACCATAAAGAAAACATACCGTTACACTGTTAGAAATAAAGGTACTCTGCAGGTACATTTTTCGTTCATCAAAGTACAAACAATATAAATGTTCCCTCAAAGGCACAACAGTAGTTCTAAGGTCCAATTGTGTACCTTAAATTAGTTTTTCCCAGTGGAAAAGTACATATTTGTACCTTTTCATAACATTTTAAAACAGAACTACACAATGAAAAGCCTGGAGACGATGCAGGGTGTGTGGAGTCAATACAACTTTGAAAAGTATAATTTTGGATTATGGTACAATTATGTTCCTGAATAGAAGTACTGAGATGTACCTTTGAGGGTACCACCCCAGTGACAGTTTCGTACCTTGTTTTCTGAGAGTGTAGCTTTAAGCATTTTCTCCCCATGTTCTCTTCTTCTTCTGTGTTTTTTGGCTCCAAATGTGTGTATACTTTTTTGAGACTTTGAGATTTTAGGCTTTCCTTCCTGGGGTGCCCTGGTGACCCTTGGGGCTTATTAGGTAGAGCTGGCACTGGTCATTACATTATTATAAGGAGTAATAAGAGTATGCTTTATTAGCATTTGTTCTTGTTTTGACACAGTTGATTATAACATTCTTCTGGAGCATCTCAAACTACAAGTTGGTGTTCAATGTACTGCATTAAATTGGTTTGCATCTTATTTAAATACCAGTACCTTTTCAGTTAGCATTGGTGATTTCTCCTCTCTACAGCATCAATGAACTGTGGATACTTATTCTGTCTTCATATGCTCTGATTAGGTTCTGTCATTCAAAACTACAACATATAGTACTGTTTTTATGTTGACTATACACAGTTGTACCTCCCACTGAGACCTGGGGAAATAGTTCCATGCTATCCCTATTTTAATGCCTTAGAAACATTGAAGCATGGATAGTGATGAACTTCCTCCAGTGAAATGAAAGCAATATAAGAAATGATTTAGGTCCTTTGTCCTTGTGTAAAAGGACACTTGTGTAACACATATTTGAATCAGCCTTAAAATGTGACAGATTAATTCTGTAGTTAAAGCAAGTTTTCCTTGCACTCTCAGAAATAAAGGTATGAAAACTGTCACTGGAGCAGTACCCTCTTGTCACTGGGGGGGTACCCTCAAGGGTCCATCTCAGTACCTTTAGTCAGGGAACATAACTGTACCATAATCCATTCAAATTATATTTTCTAAGTTGTACTGACTCCACACACCCCGTCTCGTCTCCAGGCTTTTTATTTTGTTGTTCTGTCTTAAAACAATAGTTTATGAAAAGGTACAAATATGTACTTTTCCACTGGGAAAAAACCTATTTAAGCTACACAATTGAACAACTGTTGTTCCTCTGAGGATACGTTTACATTGTTTGTACCTTAATCACCGAACAACATACCTGCACAGAACCTTTATTTCTAACTGTGTGCTTAGTGCTATTCATAAATTAAAATTTTTCCTTCTATTTAAAGACTTAAAAGTGGTTGTCCATGCATTGATCTCATCTCTAGGGCAGACTTTTGCAATTCTCTTTACATGGGAATCAGTCAGTCATTAATTTCTTAGTAGATGGTTTTTCTCCTGTACTCATTAAATTTTTTAGATTTACAATTTAAAGTTTTATTGCTTGTTTTTAAGGCAGTACACGGCTTGGCAGCTCATTATCATCTGATAAATTGCTTTTGAATATTCCATGGTCGAGACTGAGGTCTAAGGGAGATCGTTGTTCCATTAAGTCCTCCACTACTCTAAATATTTTCAAATCCTGTATGAAGACCCATGTTTTTTCCTTGCCATTTGCCTTTGTTGTAAGGTCTGTGGTGTGTCACCTTGATGTTTTTATTCCTTATGTTTCTTTGTTGATACTGTTGCTCACTGTTTTGCTAGTTTAAATAGTTAATTTAGTTTAAATTGTTGTGTTGGATTTGATAAATTGTTGTACACCCCTTTGGCCAGTGGGTGTTGATTTTAAATGTGTTGTATAAATAATCTGCCCTCCCCAAATATTGGCTCACCTGGTAAACATGAGCAAAATGGTCTATAAAAAACATTAAAAAAAATACAATAATTGGTAGAAAAAAACAAACTCATCATAAAATAAACCATTTTCTTAAATCTAAGTGTATAGGAGTGAAATCTAACTATTTTCCCATTTATATTTCATGTTTTAAAGTTCACCTGAGTGTTTAGGAACACTTAACCCAGAGGTGTCCAATCTTATCCACAAAGGGCTGGTGTGGCTGCAGGTTTTCACTCCAAACAAGCTGGAGCACACCTGATTCTACTTTTAATCAGCTGGTTTCGGTCTTCAAACTGCTGATCAGGTGATCTCCTGCTTTGTTGGAATGAAAACCTGCAGCCACTCCAGCCCTTTATGGATAAGATTGGACACCTCTGACCTAAACGGTCAGCCATGACTTTCTGTTTCACTGGGGTACAAATATGAGATGACACACAGACCAAATTGACTTAGTCACCCATCAGCATGAGAAGACGAGAGAATACAGTAATTGTGTGTGACTAAAGGTTTTTGAGTGGCACAAATCATGAAACGTCTACAAGAAAATAGCTAAACAGCTGTAAATGTCCATTTCAACTACCAGAGCAATTACCAAAGAGTTTTAAGCATGTGGAGATGTTAAGAATCTGCCAGGAAGAGGACATATGTCTATACTGACCCCACGCACAAGGAGGAGGTTGGATTAAGTGGCCAAAGAATCTCCAGGAATCACAGCTGGGCAATTAGTTGGGTCTTGGGGTCAGATCGTCTCCCAAACTACAATCAGACACCATCTACACCTACTCTTCTTTTGGAAGGTTGCCAGAAGAAAGGCTCTGCTGTCAAGGACCAACAAACTCAAGCGCCTTCAGTTCGCCAAATATTACTGAAACTTTCACTGTTCAATGGTCTGATGAGACAAACTTTTTGGCAACAAACATCACAAGTGGGTTTGGCGTAGACACAAAGATGCCATGCAAAAAATGACCTCATCCCCACCGTGAAGTATTGTGGTGGATCTGTGATGTTGTGGGGCTGTTTTTTCTTCCAAAAGCCCTGGACAACTTGTTCATACTTGTATTAGATACATGGGATCATGGACTCAAGTACCAGCAGACATTAATTTGAAACCCTACTGCCTCAGCCAGGAAGGTTAAACTGGGCCCTCATTTGGATCTTCCAGCAAGACAATGATGCAAAGCATGGCTCAGAATCAACGTAAAAATGTTTCACGGACCACAGCATTAAGGCCATGACCCCCCTTCCCCAGTCCCCTGACCCAAAACCCTTAGAAAATCTGTATAAGTGAATGTGATCTTGATTTTCAGACTAAACCATGAGCTGTTTACCAGCAATTTTTGCATTTTAGTCTATTTATGACTCTTACTGATGTGAGAAGAAATCATTTAATGGGAATTTACTAGGGAAATTAATAAGACTATTCTGAGTGACAGCAGGCTGCCAAGTGTTATTCAAAGACATTTTATTTCTTGCAAGAGAAAAAAATTACATTAATCAAAATCCTTGGAAAAGCAACAAGTCACAAAAAACAAGACCAAACCATTACCATCAACGTAGAATGATATAAAATAGAAAAGCAATTGAAGAGAAAAAAAGAAAAGGTTTGTGCAACTTAAACCAATTTGGCTTCTTGAAAGTGTAGTGTTGAGTAAGAGGTGGCAGCGCTGCATGCCAATAGAGTGTGGAACCGAGGTGAGGGATTGCTGCCACCTTGTGGTCAACCATGTCAGTACATCCAAGAAAAAACATTACATTTGCTTATCACGTTTGTTACAATGCTCTGCCATAGACCACCTCATTGACTGATACCAGCACTCACTCTCACAGGCGTGCACACACACCTATTAATTAATAAAGATCTTCATATGAAAATAGTGCACAACCAGTGTAATGTACCTCTAAGAATTAGTGTTCATTCAAAATGTGTGCAGGACACAAGCTAGAAGTGCGCCACAAGGTGAACTTTGCATCGGTAAGTGAGTTTCCTGTGGATCAGTGCAATTAAATGTAAATACAGCAGTACAACAGAGTGAAACGAAGAGACCAGACACAGAGCATACAATAAGTACAGGTTGAAAAGCAGTCATTTCCATTGAGGGAACAGCAGTGCTGAATGGGTGTGTTATAAAGGTGCTTTTAGTTTATCCAAAGAACGATACTAACCTTTAGTTTACTCAGAGATTTTTATTTATTATTGTTCTGCAGTTACCCAATTAAACGTTAAACTATCACAACCAAAACTTTGAGAAGATATGCTTAATCTGATAATCTGACCAGGAGTCAGTACCAATCCTGGAGTACCAATCCTGGTATGTTTGAACTTCAAATCCAATCTGAACTAAAACCAGTCTTACCAAAACAGGCAAAAAAGATGGAACAACTGAAGCCTCTGAAAGCAGTGGTTATGCAGCTGTCCTACCACAGCTCAAATGTTGATTGCCTCTGTTTTTGCACCATGAACATGTTAACAACCACTGCATTGGGCCTCAGTAATGTCTTGCCATAGCAAGGGATGTCCATTAGTTTGATAGTCCTTAATTCTAAATGTTGAGGCTTCCTGAGTTCATTGTATTGCTATTCATTCCCCCCTAAACCTTGTGTCCTTTCTCAGTCCCCATCTTGTTGTTATCTCTCCATTGGTATCTTACAGTTATAACAACCTTATGTAGACACGTGGGGGAACAATCTCATTTTCTTAACCAAAAAATGCCCTAAATATCAAAATACAGTATTTTTTGTTCCAGTGAGTGGACAGAAAAAATACATTTTAAAATTCAGCAGGATTGTCTCTTTGTTTCTTTCAGTTAGTAGTTGTGGTGGGTAAGAGAGTTTGGTCAGGCTTCAGATTTCATAGTGCAGGTCGTTGAGCTCCAGTCTCGTGTAGTGTCTCCTGTCAAAGGATTCCATGGCTTTGCGGCCCACGATGGCCAGGACCAAAGTGAGGCATATCAGCGTGACCACCACTATGGCCACCAGACTGTTCCTCCACGTCATTCGCGACCCCTTAGCCTTATCCAGGCCAGAGCCCACAGCTGGAGGCAACAGAGTATCAGGCCCTGACGTCTCATCCTTTAGATCATTCTCCATCTCTACAACCACTATAGTTGTCCTTTCAGTGGTAGCTGTGGATGTAGTTGTAGTACTGGTGGTTGTACTTGTAGTAGTGGTGGTTGTAGTAGTAGTAGTGGTAGTTGGAGTAGTAGTGGTAGTAGTAGTAGTAGTAGTTGGAGTAGTAGTAGGTCGAGTGGTTGTTGGTTTCTGAGTTGTGGTTGTGGTGGTGGTTGGTTTGGTGGTGGGAACTTTGCTGGATTTCCCAGCTTGGGGTTCTGGTCTTTTTTGTGGTTTAAGGGGCTTTTTGGGAGGCCGGATTGGTTTTGCAGGTGGTTGTGGTGGCTTTGGTGGTTGGGGTGGTCGTGTAGTTGTAGTGGTAGTGGTTGGTGATGTTGTGGAAGCTACCTTTGTGGTTGTACTGGTGAGCTGTGTTGTTGTTGTAGTAGTTGTTGTGGTGGTGGTAGGAGGGCTACTAGGCATGGTTACAACTGGCATTGTAACCAGGACAATGGCAGGTTCAGTTGGTGGGTGTTTGGTGGTGGTAGTTGACGTAGTTGTAGCTTGAGTGGTGGTGGATGTGGGTAAGGTTGTGGTTGTGGTGGATTGTGTAGTGCTTGTAGTTGTAGTTGGCTGGGTTGTGGTTGTTGTAGATGGCTGCATGATTCTAGGTGTTGTGGTTGTTGTTGGTCTTATGGTCGTTGAGGGGGTCTGAGTAGCAATTGCCTGTTTTACAGGAGTGGCACGAATAATGGGCATGACAGTCGTCCTCCCGTTTCCTTTTGCAGTAGGATGAATCACATCTTCAAGTTCACAAAACAAATGTAATCATTAAGCATTTGATATTAACAAGTAATCTAAAAAGAATGGTGTAAACAGTCAAACCACAATGTAAGACCAATTCCACACTCTTTACTCTAAGTTACATTTTAATTTTTAAGGAAAAACTACCTTTAGAAATATCGTAAGTGTTGATCCCAGACTTGGCAGGCACCAATGGGCAGTCTTGCTCAGTCTCACAATGAAACAGGTAGCAGTTGTCAATGCCGGCTTGGCTTGAAGGCTTATATACAACCATGTTACACTTTATACCTGTGAGAGAAGTTGAGAGGGAGTTACTTCAGGTCTTTGAGATATAGACCAATACCACTTAAAAGGATTAAATCCTTATTAATCATCTGAATTAATTGTGCTTGCTTTAAAGACATAGTTTTAGCACAAACTGGCTGACTCTGTACGCACTTATCATTTATTTTAATCCAGTTCTATGTGACAAAAATACAGACACAAAGGCCTCCACTTTGAGTAGAAAAATAGTGGTGACAGCTTGAAAAAAACTGTGAATGATAAACTCAGTGAACGTTTTTTTTTTCTTTTAAGTATCAATCAGTAAACGCTTTGATCCATATTTAGCATGCTCAGCTGATATGTAAGTCCAAGATAGAAATCAGCTTCTGCCTCAGAAACCTACCTGGCTCCACCTCTTCTGAACAGCAGGCCAGGATACAATCTTTCTCTGCCTGTTTCACCCTAGAACTCGTTATGGCCCCATTATGTTCCACGGCTATGCGTACATTCACAATGGCATCTCGATGCTGTCTAGAGTAACATGTCTTCCCATTGGAGCCCAAGGCAGGACCACTGGCCTGGAGGAAGAGCAAAGCCGCAAGCAGCAGCATAGCTGCCTTGTAGGAGCCTTGGTAGACAAACGCCATGGCTTTAGGGCTCAAGAGATCCAGAGGGTTCTCAGGGGCAGCAGAGTTCCGTTGAGAATGGTTTGAGGTCTGTTGGATAGCAGTTGGTTCTCATTTATTATTGAGTCAAATATTGCTCAAATTCATGGCAAACATGGGAGCTTTATCATTTTAGTGATGCCCTCACAACTAATATTTACTTCTTTATATACATTTCTGTAAATCTACAAAAAATGAGCCATTCATAACCAGACTTGATTCTAAATACACCAGTCCTCAGGGACCCTCAGATGGTCCAAATTTGTGCTCTGTCCCAATGTACTGCAAGTCAGATGGGCCATCTGAGTGTCCTTGAGGACTGCTTTGTGAACCGTTTCCCTAAAGTAATTTTCTGTTCATGGATTTTCTGTCAGACCACAAAAGATCAGAGAAAGAACCTTGCTGCTACTGCTACACTTAACTTTAGATACAATCGAAAAAACAACATTAGATATGAAATTCACATCACAATCATGGATTAAAATAGCCCGATTTTGAAAAATCTACTAGAAAAGAGAGAACGTGTAGAATATCTTAGATAAAATAAGTAATTTGATTAACTACCAGTAATCCACATGCAACACTAGAACACACATTACACAAATCACTTTTGTAAGCCATTAAACAAAATGAAATCTAAAATCAGTTATTAAAATTATTCGAGTTACTGACCAGTACCTGGTATACACAGACAAAACTCCATCAGATGTTCTCACGTCCTCTGGGTCCACAGTTCATACACACTCCTCTATGTCAGCAGGACTTTGCTCCTTTTTTTCTGTAAAATATTTCTCAAGTTATCATGTTATCTTAAGTAGTTGATTATGTGCAGTAATAGTAAACCAACCAGCTTATCAGTAAAGGGTTTCATAGCCCATTTATCACCATGCTATAATTTTAGATGAGTGGTGAAAGTTGGTAAACACATTTATGTTTTCGACAAATGTAAACTACACTGGTTCTACAATTACAGGATTTTTAAAAATAGATAAGGTGATAAGAAGTCTGACAGTGACCAGCATCTTCGATTTACAAAATTCTGGGTGTTGCTGTTTACGATGGCCTCCAGAATCGCTGGCACCCTTGGTCATCCCAATCTCCCGACCAAAACCTCATTGAAAACCTGTGAGCTGAAGATGAGGATAGTCCACAAATGAGGACCAAGGACTGGAGAGGTCTGGAATAGATAATAGCCTCACCCTTTTTATCTAGCGTTACAAGAGAAGACTAAATTGTGACTAAATTTACCTCACTGAAAGGTTAGATTTTACTACTATTTTCAGTGCATGATCTAGCTGAAAAACAATGTACTCCCCACCTCCATTATCACCAAAGGTGGCAATAATTCTGGAGGACACAGTCGAGGCCTTGTTGTTTGCAATTAACACAAGGTAGTTACTCGTGTAATTCTCTGCTCTACGGCGGACTATATGAGAGTAGCGTATTTTCGGCTGGAGAACACACTGACTATTCCAGCTGGAGAGCTCTGATAAGCAGGGCCTGCCTGCTGGTGCTGAAGCTGAGCTGATGCGTCGCTAGGATACCGAGCATCACCCGAGAGGGCATCCCGAGCCGAGACCAGACCGTGATGCAATCCTAATGAAATATGCAACGTCGTCTTTCCTCCGGCCTCAAAAGCCAACCGCCACCTTCATCTTTGTCCCCAAAACGATTCGCTTTGCTGTTCGAGGTCGCTAACTCAGCCTCGGGACGCTGCTCGAGCTGCAGCCGCTGTCTTTCTTCATCGCGGGTCCACTTACTTTCACTGAAACCGTCCGAACGACCGCCGGTCAACGTCTTCTCCTAACAGACGGTCGCGGGCCGGTTATGCAAACGAGTCTAGCTAAGGAGTTCATCTCCACATATCCTCCTCGTCGCGCTCCTTTAAGACGTTCAGGGGTCCGTCGCTTTAAAATGGTGTCTGTGGTCACGGACTCGCGGAGTGAGTCTCTCTCCCGAAACAAACACAATCACAGTCTTCTTTATTTCTCGCCTCGAAGCCGCTCCGCGCGGGCTCTGGAGCCGAGCTGGTTCCCGCTCAGCACACAATAGGAAAAAGAAAGCTGCGAACGCGACACTCCGAGCGACCGGACTACAAAACCGTAACGTTTTCACAGCAATAAACGGTCCAAACGGCGCTACTAAACGGTACCGAGCGCAGCACGCAGCCTTCGCTCTGACCCACTTCGGTCTCTTTGTGTGCTCCGCGCGACTGGCAGGACGGTGACGTCACACGCTCGCGCACTCAAAGCCCCGCTTCTTACGTTACGAAAAAAACATACCCGAAGGATGTACTGACTACAGAGCTAAATCTGTTTCATTTCCTGAAGTAAATTTCTTTCTATTGCTCAGGTTCATTTACTTAAAATTAATTTTTCTTATCCTGAGGTAACTTTTCACACCCGAGGTAATTTATTTCTGAGGTAAATTAACTTCATTTCACACCTTCAGGTATTTCTTTTTCTTATTCTTAAGTAAAATTGCTTAATGCTGATTTTCGTATTCTGAGGTAAACCTGCAAATCCCAAAGTAAATGTCACACCCCGAGGTCCTTTCTTTCTAATTCAGGTATTTGTATTTTGTTTTACACCCTGATGTAAATTTTTGTTTTGTTTCTGGTGTAAATTCACATCTGGAGTTGAATGTACTTCATTTCACACCTTGAGATAAATTGTGTTCTCATTATGAAGTAAATTTCCCTCACATCCTGAGGTAAACTTATTTAACCATGAGTCAGGTAATCCCTCAAAACTCCAAAACAAGACAATGAAGTCCACTTAGGTGAATATTTTGCTTTGTTTTCTGCTAAACGTGATAAGGACACAAATAACATTACTGAGAAAATATATGCATTTTGGCCTGTGTTTAATATGGTTCAGAAAAATAACCTAACAGGCACATATAGTTAGCTTTGTAGGTACTTTCTGGTCTGCTGAAGCCCCTCCGTAATGTTACTGACTGCACTAACGTACAGATGTTAGTGCAATTCACAGGAGACCAGGTGTGACCGTATGCTTACCCAGAGAGACAGTGAATGCACATCAAAAATCGAGCAATACAAAGAAGAACACTTAAGACTGCTGGTATATTAATAGCCTTCACACACTTCAACTCATTTCAGTTCTTTTGAGCATTATCAAAGTAGTCACTCTGGCATTTATCTTCCTGATCAAAAAAGAGAAGTAACTCATGTACTTCAAGGTATCTCCGTACTATTTTAAGTGTTTTGGTGTGGGTTTTTGATATGCAGATCTGGTACAGGGCACAGACATACACAGTCTAAACCTTGACAAAAATGAAAATAGGAGCAGCATTGGGGGGAAAAAACAGCATTACAACCACTTACTGTTTTTTGCACCCATAGCATTTAAGACAATGGAATTTGTGTCTGAAAACGTTGGCCTCAACGCAGCAAGCAATATTACTAATCACTTGCTTTTATATATACATTGTACATCTAAAAGTCAGCATAATAAACAAAAACTTTCAGTCCTTTGTTGAAGCACAAACGTTAACATTGAATTCCAGTACTGATCACTTATTCCACATCCATCATTTCCATCTCAGCAGATGAGGTGGCACGTTTTGTTTTCTTCGGTTGTTGTGCAGCAGGGGTCGTCTTCTTGACGGCAGGAGCTTTCTTCTGTGGTACTGTTTCAACTACAAAGAGAAAGATATTTATTTGTCAAATTGTAGAACTGCTCTCACAAGACATGTTTAAAGTCAGTGCTAATTAACTGGACAATTACATTTTTGTGGAATGACAATCTTTACATTTTTACCACTAATTGAAAAGTTCCTGCATACAAAGCAGATGACAGTGTTCTGTTCAAATAAATCAGAGAAATAATAGCACGTTTCTAAATGTGTTCTCTCTTTGTGTTCTGTCCTGCCCTATAGTTAATGAAAAAACTAGCAGCTGAGCTGCTTCCACTTGCATCAACTGTTCTTTCTATTAGCACTGGCTTTTAGTTCTGCCTTTGGAGTTCTTAGGCACACAACAAGACTGAGAAACTGGTTGAAATAACAAGCAGAAAAAAGCAGGATATTATCGGAACCACTACACTGTAAATAACATAAAACAGCAACATAAAATATCTTATGTGTTTAGAAAGTATCCTAACAAAGCACTGTATTCTTTGACAGAAAATGAGCAGATATGTCAAGAAAAAACTAACGTAGTGTGGGGAAAAGACAGCAGATGGCCTAAAGAATGCTACATTACCTGTAACATGTAATATGATTAGAAAGCCTGTGGTATTGGCACACTCTCTAATGACCACTACCACACTGACTGGCTTTGTTCACTGACTTCGCTTCACATTTCATCATTCAGCATGGCAATAACGCAAAGCAAACCACAAAAGCATTCATCGGCCAGAAATTTTGATGTTTTGAACTGTCAAAAGCAAATGTTTATAGCAAAGGTCTGGCAAAGCATAGCAAAAGAAGATGATGGTAAGGGTCAATGTTTGTACGTACTCAGTGTATAGCTGTATACTGTATTTTACTTTGTTCTAACACTTATGCACAATAAAAAATGAGGTGCTCTAAACGTCAAAAGTGCTGCACAAGTGAGTCAGATTAGAGCTGGAATTAACTCAGGGCAGCTCTCCAAGGAAAACAATATTTGCAAGGAGCAGATCTGTGCTGTCTGATCATGGAAACAATGCAAACTGACAATACAAGGTGCTCCCATGTGAAACATGAAAGGACTGACATCATCAAATTACAATTACTTCATTATTAAGAATAACACTGAGAAAAAGACAGCAATGGCCCACAGTTGCATGCAAAATTTCTGGCACCCCTGGCCAAGATTTACATTTTTCTGTAAATGTTAATGCACACTTTATATATACTTCACTTAACAAATAAATAAATAAATGAAATAATAATTGTGGCTGTGCAAAAGTTTGGACACTCTACATCTTAGTACCTACTAACACACACTTTGGCAGATATCACAGCATGCAAATGCTTTTTATATAACCAGCTAGATGTCTTTCTATTCTTATTTTAGGAATTTTCACCCACTCCTCCTTGCAGAATGCTTCTAATTCTACAATATTCTTGGACTGTCTTGCACAGACAGGATGTACCCACAGATTTTTGACAAATTTCAATGATGTTCAAGACAGGTGACTATGAGGGCTATTCCAAAAGCTTCAACTTGCGTTTCTTGAAGTAGTTCACAATGGATTTTGCTCTAAGTTTTGAATCATTGTTGCATACTTCAGACATTAACTTTTGTGAAGAGATCACAAATAAGTCTTCCTTCTGATAACTCCTCCATGCAGATCATGTTTGGGCAAGCAACTCCAAACAGTGGAATGGTGCACTGTGTCGGCTCAAACTTCGTGCAGATCTTTTGCTGTCATATTGGGGTTTTGCTTTGCATTTCTAAACAGCATACAAGCAGTTATATCCGAGAGTTTTCTTGGTCTTCCAGATCTTGCTTTAACTTCCATAGTTCCCCTTAACTGCCATTTGTAATGACATTTTGGACAGTGGAATCTGTGAGCTGGAAGCACTATGATATATTATTATAGCCCTCCTCTGCTTTGTAGGCATCAATTAGCTTCATTTTCAGAGCCTCAGCCAGCTGCTTATAGGAGTCCATAATTGACTGTTAGCACAAGGCTTGGAGACTCTTTATTTATGCTCATCAGTTGACAGTTCCTAATGACAATTAGGCTACATTCACACAGCAGGTAAAAGTGGCCCAAATCTGATTTTCTCAACAAATCTGACTTTTTTGTTTGAATGTTCACAATATCTTTTAATGTGACCTGCACGAGACATTAGTCTGAACAGATCACACCCCTAAACTGACCCGCATGTGCAAAAGAACAGTGCTTCACGTTGCTTCACATGGCCGCTCATCCAGAGGTAAACAATCATGACTGCCCATGAACGCAATGGCTACCAACGAGCTTGCTGTAAAAAAACGGCACGGTCACTTCTTTGGTTTGTGTCCTTGGATTCTTTAAACTTTGCTTTCAGACTTTTAACTTCTCTTTGACACCGCAGCCTCATTCTCCTACAGCCATGTTTGGCCTTGTCTTTTAAAATCTCTTCGGACATGGAGGGGTTTGGACAGGTTTCTTCTAATTTTTTTTTGTACAGAAACATTACCTGAAATGTTTGAGGTCTCAGCAGCGTGAAATTATGATGAATTTTGAGTTGGATTGATGTAAAAGTCGCATGAATTTCGACGTGGCTGTTCAGACTGAGTCGCATTGCCGCATATCGGATTTCAGTACCACATGCCAGAGAGTCTCAAATTGGAATTATATCAGATTTACTGTGTTTTTGCTGTTCACACTGACACACACATAACAGATCTGTGTCACATATGACGAAAAAGATTGGATTTGGGCCACTTTTACCTTCTGTGTGAACTTATTTTTATGTTGAAATAGTTCAAAAATCAACAAAATATGGATACAACTGTATAAGCCAAGAGAGCAGATACAGGATAGATGCTCTAATACACCTCATTCAACTTATCTGTTGTCAGGTCTAGTGGGTGTGTTTAAGTAGGGAATTCACTAAACTGTGCTAAACACCAGTCTGCCATGACCAGAACTGAAGAACCCTGCCCTACTCGAATGTAGAAACTGCTCTAGTTTGTCATAACTACCTTCCATGCTGGATTTTTCTTTCTCCATGTGCTGCAGCTGCTTGAGCAGTTTGCGTCTTTTCTTCCCAGACAGGGTGATGTTCGCCCTGGAACTGGTGCTGTACACATACAAAAAGAAAAAAAAATAATCCATATTGTAACAAAAAATCTTAGTTGTATATTATATACACACATACCAACCTGTTTTAACACTCTTTGATGCTATTTCAGTACTGCAGCAGAAATACATGGAAAAATTAAATGTGAAGTAACTAAATCACATTTACAAAGGCAGCTACATAGATGAGTCATATTAGAGGTAATACCAATTAAGAGTATTTTTCAGCCAGTACATCGGTACAGAAATCTGTAAAAGTATATAACTGGGGAATGAGAAGTCTTATCATGAAAATCATGAGAAAATATGCCACAGACCAACAGCATCAGTAAAGTGGTTGCGAATCAAAATAGCAAGTAAATAGCACTACATAGAATTTAATCTACTTTTGTGTTACATTGTTGCAACAAAAACAAATGTACATGTGTACATGTTAAAGTTTGGGGGGGAAAAACTGTATAACTGACAACAGAATTAGGCTAGGTTCGCCTTGTGAAGAAAACACTGTTCCCTCACGATGTTCCTATTGTTCATGCAAGCTACAAATCAAGTTATAAAATGATTGAGTTCAGTACCTGTATGGACAGTGATGCAAAAAGGACTAACACTCCTAAATATGATGATATCTATCAACAATAATTTAAAAAGAAAGATGCTGTTTGCCCTTCTGCGGTTCAATTCACAAACCTCCTCTTTTTCAGGTGATGTTTTGTTATAAGGCCACTGTCCACCACTGCTCCAACGATACGATGCTTCTTCTTCTTCTGCTTCATTAGAAGTCTTCGCCTTTTGAAGAGCTTCTTCCCTAAATCCTGCATGATACATCAAGGGCTGTATTAATTTCCTTAAGATTTAATAACTAATTTTCTTCATAATTTCATGACCTTCTCAACCTTTTGTATGGAAATTATAGAAATGGGTGTAATTTGATCTTACTCATTTTGGCCAGTGTGTTGGTAATCAGTACGTTTGAACAGTCTCTGGAGAGACCAAACTGTTTCTGAAACCTAAACCTGGGGTGTATTTCACCAAGCAGTTACATCACTTATGCCAGAGCTCAAAGCCTGTCGAACTGAGAAATCCTGCTTTGTAAAATACTCCCGTGATAAAATAGTGGTTAACAACTATTCTACCGTTGTAGGTTCACCCTCATTTTGGTTAGTAAATAAAATGTCTAAATGTGTGTGGTGTAGACAGTGTAACCACTTCTTATTTTTTCTATCACTTCTGTTTGTGGATGGATTCAATGTAATTAAATGTTACTTTCCAGTTATTGTGCAATGTATTTCATGGTTGTTCAAATCAAATTCAGAGAAAGAGATGAGAGAAATGCAGGCTGATATATTTGCTATATTCAGGTAAAAGGAAAACTACTAAATGCAAAAACTGTCGCTATAACAGTCAGTTTGTTAGCGATTATAACCTGCATCACCTCCTTTAAGCAAGCATACAGTGTAATTTGATAGAAATTCAACTTTATTTAGACATCTATAAAAAGATAGCCGTCTGACATACAAATAAAAAGACGTACTGTTTTTGGTTTGTTGATCTTTCCTCCCGGAGCCATGCTTGCTGAAAACGTGAGTGGTATTTAGGTCAAGTAATATAAATGTCTTCCGGTTCACCAAAGGCAAAATATAAGTCGAACTGAAAGCCTTTAACAACATTACCTAAGCAGATGAATCTTGTGTACGCCGTCGTACGCAAAAGTATGCAAAAATAAATGAATGAATGAATAAAATACCCCAAAATCACATTTTATTGTTGAACGTTAATTTTATTGTTAAACATTAAACGTTCTACTCATTTCCCGAGTTTAACATATTCGGAAAAAAAAAACATAAATATAAAACGTGCCATAACTTTTGCATAGGCTGCATTTTACGTTTAATTTTTTTTTCCAATATTTTAATTTCAGCAAAAAAAATAAAAAATAAAAATAAAAAATAAATAAATAAATAAAAAACTCAATTGTGCATTACAATGTGCAAATATTAATAATTTGACCAACATTGCATACAACTGCAGCTCTAGTGTATAGACTTTCTTTGGCCATACTGTTCAATAAATTTTAAGATAATCTCTTAAAAAGCCCAGTACAAATTAAATTAAGCCCAGTACAGATTTGTTTTAAATTAAAGTAAGATTAATTGACGTTAAGGTGTGTTAAGAGAATGTTTAGACATTAAACCTTAAATTCTTAAATTAATTAAATTTGCCAGTCGGCCTCCTGAGACCTCCTACGATATCCTTATTAGGAAATAAATTAAAATGGTATCTTCTAATTCAAAAAAGTTGCTCTTTCAGTTATGCCATAGGCACTGACTATGGAGTCCTAAAACAGCCAAATGTGAAACTGTATGTAACAGACCACAATAAAAGACATTTTACATATCAATGGCTATTTTTGGCCCCCTGCAGCAGGTTTGACATGGTGGTCAGCAATAGCAAAAGACCAGTATAGCATCAGTTTTTGCAACTCAATTTTGTATTTTTATTATGTTTTATTTTCACTTGATAATGACACTGTGATATCAATTAATTCAGAACATATTTTAAGGACTCATGGCTTGTTTTATCTATTTTCACACTTTTGTGCTGTGTCATTTGATCATAACACTACAAGACACAAGAGCAGCACAAGGCAACTACATTAAAGCGATTTTTATTTAGAGACGGCACAGTAGTACTTTTTCTTTTCCAATACTGAGTTTTTGAAGCTTGAGTTTTTCCCCACATTGTTCTGCTATTTCTTCTTTAAAAACTTTTTTTTAATCTTAAGCATCTAAAAGTAGGCTATCATGTTCTAACTACTCAGTCACTCTGCTGCCCCACAGAAAGAAATACACAGCTAACAACATCAAATCATTCAGTGTGTGTGTCAGGATAGATTTGTTACACAATTGGATCAGATTCGTTCTTTTTTTCCTCCAATATCCAACCCCGTCTTTTCTGCTGACATCACCCTAATACCAATACCTGTTGACGCAGAAATGCCATCTCTAATTTTATCTGTCCTTTTTATTTCTGTGCTGGTTTTAAGCACTTTGTTTATTATTTACAGTTGATTGCAATATCCTTTGTAATACTTTTTTGTAAAATTAACTCAATACATTTACTAAAGTGTACGATAATGAAAACTAAATGAATTGTTGATTGAAATCATTGGATTGGAATCACTGCCTTCCCAATCAAGTCGGTATCCATGAGTTGCATTGCAGTCCCTGGTGTTTGGCATGTTGCATCCACATGCAGTTCTCAAACTTCACCACTGAAGGGCAGAGCAGCAGCAATATGCTGTCCCTATGTTGTGTTAAAGTACACAACTGGACCTTAAAACCACAGATGTTCCTTTGAGTGTACTATAACTTTGTTTGTACCTTGATGAATTAAAAATGAACCTGCATAGTACCTTTCTTTCTAACAGTGTAGCCCACCACACACAGTAACTAACAACAAATTTCACACATGTACAGTCACATAGACTGATTAACACCAAGGGTATTTTCTGCAGACCTAATAATATGCTGTAGTTTATGAATGCTATTTTTGGTTGGAGGGATTCACCAATGATGAAGGTGGTGATGACAGACTCTGTAATGGCTGTATAGAACTGAACATGCAGCTCTCAAGGCTTTTTCCCCTGGCTCAGTAGCTACATTCTCTGCTGCGTTTTCTTTGTAATGGAGTAGATTTTGGTGTCACACTTTAGCTCCCTGGTGACTGTAGTTCCAAGGAACTTAAAGGACTCTATAGACATCACATTCTTGTTAAAGATGGTGGAAGGGGTGGGGAGCTTCTCCTGAAGTCGACTGTCATCCCCTCTATTTTGAGTGTGTCCAGCTCCTCTGGTGACTGCTCAAATGGGACCAACAGTTTGACTACTTGTCTGTAAGCAGACTCGTCACCGTCACAGGGAGACCAATGACGGCAGTGTCATTTGCAAACTTTAGGATTTTGAGGGGTCTGTGGAGGTGCAGTGGAAAGAGCACACAACCTTGTGAAGTGTGAGTACTGATTTTTTGAGTACCTCATGATTGTGTTAAACGCTTAGCTGAAAAAGAATATACTTACGTAGGTCCTTGAGTGGTTGAGGTGTTGAAGCATAAAGTGAAGTCCCATGTTTACTGCATCATCCACAGGGGGTTTGTAATATCCTTCAGAATTGTATCAAAGGATTCTATGATTACAGAGATCAGGATGGTGGGTCTGTAGTCACTCAGTTCTGTGATGGTTGTTTTTTTGGGGATAGGTAATATTGTGTAGCCTTTGAACTAGGAGATATTTTGCCCTGCTCTCGTGTCCTGTTGAACATATATGTGAACACAGGTGTGAACTGTTTAGCACAGACCTTCAAACTGGAGGGTGAAACAGCATCTGGGCCTGGTGCTCTCCTAACCTCTGAAAGAGTTGGCACAGCTCAACCTTGCAGATCTTCAATGTGAGCTGGGTGGCCGGCTGTGTGGTTGTCAGGGTTTAAGAAAGGGCCGCTGGTGTTTCTGTTGTGGTTTGTACGAGGAGTGAATTGGAGCTGGAGAAGTGTATGAAGCCGAGCTTTTCAAACCCCCTGCATTATGTATTCAGCTCAGCGGCTGACGATCACCTATTGTCTGGATGTTGTGCAGGCTTTTTCACCCAGTCTGCCAGTCTGTAATACAGGAAGCAACAAACTACATTATGCCTTTAGAACTCAACAAGGGATCCATAAAATGATAGGAAAAAAAATCATAGAATCACATATGGGAAGCTCAAGCAGAAGCAGAAACCACTGTAAACATAAATCTGCATATCGTCGCTGTCCAAAGAAAAACAAGTATCTCCAAAATAGTAACTTTACTGGAGAAGGCAAAAACACTTACCTTTCAATGTAAGTTAATGTAAAGAGGTTTTATTACAAGTGATTTTAGAGCATTTCTATTGGTCCATTCATCATGAAATTTTCACACACTGTAAAGGACAGCTGGTGTGTTGAAATGATCAGAAAAAATGAAAATGGACAAAAATGGAGATACATGGTTTTCTTTGGACAGTGACAATATTCTTAATCTTTCTCAAACCGTCGTCTTAGCATATTGAACGTCTAGGCTCAGGTCCACTCACTGGCTACTTTATTAGCAACGCCTCCCAGGTTCACGTAGCATTTAGATGCATTTTTGTGACTTTACAAATATGAATTATTGTCCATCTGTTTCTACTTTGTGAAAAAAATATGTTGTTCATCAGTGGTCAGGACCCCCACAGAGCAGGTATTGTTTGAGTGGTGGATCATTTTCAGCACTGCAGTGACACTGACATGGCTGCTGCGTCTGATCCGCTTGTACCAACACAACACATGCTAACTCTGCACAGCTGAGAATGATCCACCACTAAAAAAAAGTGGCCAGTGACTATAAATGTGTTTGATATGTTCAGCTTATTTCTGCCTGTATGAATCTGTTACTGTGATATGGATCGTGATTTACGTATGTCCTCTTGTATTTGCTACGCACAGCATGTTTCTCTTCCCTATCTAAACGAGATTTTCATTTAGCAGGCAATATCTATCTATCTATCTATCTATCTATCTATCTATCTATTTTATTAACCTCGTCGGTAGGATCTGTCTATCCCCCTATTATAATACTGGTATCTGCATCCGGAGACTCTTCTAACCCCTACAGCTTTCCTCCTCTTCTCCTTTAAGAGCCGCACTGTGCGTTCACCGGGCGTCACGTGACCCTTGGCTAAACGAGAAGGATAGAGGACCGACAGAAACGGCCCAGCCGCTTCACAACCGCCGCTCGACCGCAGAAACTGTAGAAGAATCTGTCTCTGAAACGTCTCTGCTCGCCCTTCACTGCGGCGCTGTGCTGTGTGTGAGGCAGACTGAAGACGGACCGAGGCTGCTCCGCTCTCCTCACTGTCGGCGGACACTGAACCGGAGAGTCCTTCAGGAGCCCGCGCGTCACCCTCACATATCCGCTCCATATATACAGGGTGTTTTTCTCGTTTACGTTTACATTTTCGCCAGTATTTCTTCTTCTTCGTTTTGGGTCCCTCGGTATTCTGTGTTGTATTCTGTCATCTCATCGTCGAGATTCGGTGGAACAGTCGACCGTCCGCCACCGAAACATCAGAGTTTGATCAGAGTCTGTCGAGGTTCGGCCGTTTTTAAACCCCGATTATTTGAATCCTCGGGTTTTTCCTCAGACAGAGCCGCTGATCTACGCTGTGTCTCCAGCGGAGGGCGTTACGTAAGAGAGCCGTCAGAGAGAGAGAGGGAGAGACAGAGAGAGAGAGTGAGAGAGAGAGAGAGAGAGAGAGAGAGAGAGGGAGGACAACCGGAGAAAATCCGCGGCACCCCGGGACCGAATCCCCTCATGTCCGCGGACCCTCTGAGCGCTGTTGTGTGCAGTGGGCATTGAGAAGGACACCGCTCGCCTCGCGCTGCTGACCGCGTTATTTGGTGTGTGAAGGAGCGGACAGGCCTGTATCTGGCGCAGGAAGGCTCTGCTGGAAAAGGCTGCCTTCGATTTTTTTGGTCGGCGAACGACCTATGCTTGTGTCCCACCGTTGCTCTGCTGTGTGGTGAAGTGGCTTGTTGGAGAAAATGTCGGGCCAGACGCTGACTGACCGCATCGCCGCCGCGCAGTACCAGCTGACCGGGTCAGACGTGGCGCGCGCCGTGTGCAAAGCCACAACGCACGAGGTGATGGCGCCCAAGAAGAAGCACCTGGACTGTAAGTGTGTGTGTGTGTGTAGGGTGGGGAGGGGGTTAGTCGGTGTGCGTGCTCGTGTAGTGTGTATCAGAACTGTAGTTCAGTCCAGTTCTTTCAGGAAACAGGCGTTAAGAAGGTCACATTTCTGTGTCGGTTAAACCTGGATCTCTGGAATAGAGGTGCACCGATATGAGAACTGTGGGCCGATGCCGATATCCTGTATTTTTTCATGTACATATCTGCAGATGTCGATACATAAACATTTACATAATGTAAAATTAGCACTTGGTCTGCTTGGTTTAGCAGTACAAAGAAATATGACATTCATTTATAAGGCTACAAATGCAGTAAAATAAATAAAACACAGACATTTCAGCTCAGTAGCCTAGAATCACCTAAACATTCTGCTCTTCCAGAGGATAAACATAAATACACCATCAAATATTGGTTTGAAATATCCATCCGATCCAAACATCTGCCTCATGATGAGCCGATCCTTTTTTTAAATAAATTATTTGCTTATGCCAGTATTATTTTAGTATTGTTCTGCATCCATCTTCTGGAATCATGAACATCAAAACCAGTCAATAGTGTCAACAGAATGAGATATATGCCAGGACTACAATTTTATGAGCTGGTTTCCAGGTCTAGACCAGGCGCTCAAGAGCATTACATAGTTGCTCTTGAGCTCAAATTTGAGCTAAAAAAAACTACAAATAAACAAGCAATGTGATACTGAAATGATTATTATGTGTTTCACTAAGGTGTGCATGGTTTTAGAAGGTTTGATTTGTTAAACTGTACATATATAAATTATGTGTTTGGAGCAGGGGTCCACAGTTAAGCCAGGTCATCAGCAAATTTGAATGCCTCTAGCAATAAAACGTCGGCTGCTAGGGGTCACAGAGGACTGGACTAAACGCCTGGTTTAACAAGTGTCCTTTACCCTCCAGGTTCAGTCCGGTGGCGCTGTCCATTTCAGCACCACATTGTAGTGATACAGTGCCCTCTACTGAACTTCCTTTTTTGAAGGAGAGGATGGGTGTGTTGGATAGGCATGCATGTACACACACACCCGCATGTGATAATGTTTAAGTGCATAGTGCTACTACTGAACAACAGTACCCTTGGGTAATAACTAGGGCTGCACAATGAAATCAAAATTATATCATTGCAAATTAGTAGCGTCGGACAGATGTTGCTGGTCCAAAAAGGTTCTCTCTCTCTCTCTCTCTCTCTATATATATATATATATATATATATATGTGTGTGTGTATATATGTGTGTATATATATATATATATATATATATATGTGTGTGTGTGTGTGTGTGTGTATATATACGTATATATATATATATATATATATATATGTGTGTGTGTGTGTGCAATGTGTTACCAAGACTTCTTCTATTATGAACTTCTGTAATGAGCGGATTTTGTGATAACTTAACAAGGGGCAACATAAGCATGGGTGTTTTGGTGATATTTACTGTTGTTGGGAAAAATTACATCACATTTTGTCTGAGCATTTTGTGGCTATTGTCAGTACTTAAAAAACACTGACCAGCTGCATATTTCATTACAAAAGGAGCATAATAATTAATTGTTTCAGTGCAATGCAGTGTGTGAAACAACAAAAATATTGTATTCATAGTGTTAGATAGTATTTTATGAGGTGTAACACCACTGGTTCATTTTTCTTCTGTTTTCAAACCTAAGAAAAAGCTAAATGTCTTAATATAAAATGCAAGTATTGTTAAGTATTGTAACATTATAAATTTGATATGGCAACACTGTGCTTGAATCATTTGCATCAAATCATCTGAAATGACTGTGCTCAAGCTGGGCTGTAGAAACCTGTTAATGTAATGTCCCTTCTCGTCTAGTTGCATAAGACAAAATTAATGTGACATAATTCTGGCTTGTAACTTTGTCATGATGGCCCTAACTGATAAGACTCACCTTGTGTCTGTTGCTAGCTCAGGTTCAAGCGGTAGTGTCGTGCACACGATTTCTTAACTCACAGTGTTTGTCTGCCTAAACACCTCAGTAATTCACTTTACCAGTACTTCTACAGTTTCTGATATGCAGTAATTGTGTACCTGGGTGTGTGGAGGTCTGTTTATTTGTATTAGAAGAAGGATAAAGGAAACCTCTAATCCAAAGGTTGTCTTATAGTAATAGTCAGATTCAAAGTAGACTATTTCTTTCAGTGGAATTACATGAATATATTCTCAATTATGAACTAATAATACGGAGCTCAAAACTGCGTTTTCATTAGCAAATGGAGGCAGAGCAGTGTCTTCACTGCTGAAGTGGCTATTGAGCACTCCGTCCTAGAGGACAAGGCCTGCTGAATTATAAATTGATCAGCCCATGCATGCATTATTCACACAGCTAAAGATGAGGGCGCTAATACTGGGACAGAGAGGGAAGTCTGCATAGTTGCAGACTTAAGTGTATATGTCTGTGTGTATGTACACATTATTGTGTGTGTGTTATATGAAGGTGTATGTGTGTATCAGAGCTATAGTCAAACCCAGAACCTTTAACCCCTTAAAATCCCAGTAACTACAGGGACTTCTTTGCAAACTGGCTGAGCTGTACTTAGGTTATAGTACTGTGTAATAAAACCTTGGGCCTGCCGGTGGGCCCTGGCCGTTTAAGGGGTTAAGAATTAAGAAGCAGACGAAGACTAATTCAGATCTGAAAATGAGGTGGTTTGAAATGGCACATTTATGAGGTGCATGTATTATGTACAAATCTAAAAATGAGGACAGATACTGGGACAGAGAGGAAATTCAGCATGGTAGTCTTAAGACAACAAGTCTTAAGACTGTATTTACATCAGTGGAACGCCTAATGATTTCTGTAAACTAAGAAATACATGTCTGCAGTTTCAGTTACATGTTTTACGATCTTCATTCTTACGATATTAGATTTCTGGGAGTATTGTGATAATACTCTTATGCTATTGTTAAGAATTGGTTGTAAACAAAAGATCTTGAAATGAGCAATGGAAAATTATCCAGTCTGCATAGATACAGCCAAGTGAGCTATCCTACTAAGTAGCCCTTAAGGATCTTGGCTGAAGGCCTCACACAATAGATTAACTAGCAACATAATTAGGAAGTGACAGTGGAATCAACCAATCACATTTTGATTTACATGCCAGGCTTTCTGAAAGACCTCAATACACTCTTAATAAAAGATTGGGCTTCATCTCGTAAAAACTGTGTGGATTTTAAGAAAAGTGGATTTTAAGAAGACATTTCTTCTTAAGAACAGTTGGTGAATAAGGCCCGTAGTTCTTAAAAGGTTCTTTAGTAAAGAAAATTGTTTTCTATAGAACCATGAACATTCAAAGAACCTTTTGCATGATTAAAGCGTTCATTGCTTCATGAATTGGCTCTTAAGATTGGTGGAGAATGTGCTGTAGGTGGTTCTATATAGAACCTTTCTAAAAGGATTTTATGTAACACCAAAAAGGGTGGTTCTTTTGTTACAATGACAAGCTTGTAACAATAGAAGAACCTTTTTGGTGCTACATAGAACCTTTTTAAAAATGGTTCTGTGTAGAATATCTATAGCAAATCTAAAGCACATTTCCATCAATCTGAAGAACCCTTTTATGATGCAAAAAAACCCTTGAATCATGCAAAAGGTTCTATGAGTGTTCATGGTTCTATAGAAAACAATTTTCTTTACTAAAGAACCTTTGAACAACCATCATTTTGAATTGTGTACATCACTGACTGTTTTCAGTCTGATTTCAGTTAATGTTAGAAAAGGAAAACAGAGGCGGAAACTCTAAGCCAAGGCTCTTTACTGAAAGAATCATGGTAAAACCGCTACATACAAAGTTAAATATATGTTATTGTCTGTTACAAGTTTCAAATAAAATATACAGAATTACCTTTTCCTGCTTTAAATTGTGATGGTTAATCTAAAATGGCCAAAAAAGTTTATGTGCCCCAGTGTTAGCTTACATGCTATTAGAAATGCAATTGGGGCATCAGCAGAAATAAGAATTATCATAGAGGTGTTTTTTTTCTTGTTTTTTTAAATTGAGTTTTGACATTTATTGGTCTGTTTACTTGCTTAAGCACATCTAATTACAAAAAACACTTCGGTCTTATTGGGAAAGTAGTAAATTGGTGCTAAGAAAAACAAAATCTGTTTGGGATTTTTGTACCCAGTGAAGTGAACATATGGCGTATGTCAAAGGTGGGGAGCTGTTTTTGGCACAGGTGGTGTGCCTTAATTGAAATGTGCCATTTTTCCTGTCAATGGTCATTAAAACAGTGGCCTCTAGATAGGACTGAGTTTCCATGGAAACTGGAACAGTAGGGAAAGGGTCAAAGGTGAGTGACCAGATGGCAGGGCTCATATATTGATGAGAGAATTGCTCAGGGAGGGCTTCTCAATAAGGATCTACACTTTAGCAGCTTTCAGGGAGACATTGGTCTTTTATGTCTAACCTAGGACTGAACGATTTGGGAAAAATATCCAATTGTGATTTTTCTGAACAATGTTGTGAATGGAGTTTAAATTGTGATTATTTTTTGTAAATTAAGGTCAAGAAGACCAGATTATCCACTTTTTCTGGCTTGTACACAGCATGTGATTGTGGTTGCTTCTGATTGGTCTGACTCATTTACAGGCAGATCACAATCTCTGTGTTACTGGGTTAAATTTACGCTTAAGACAGCATTGTTGATAATGTAGCCTGTAATAAAAATTGCACTCTTTAAAATGGTAATTTCAGCCCTAATCGTACCACATGGCTAACATATATTGCTTTTATTCTATTATTTTTTTTAGAAATTGTCTTCTGTCACCTGCTCAGTGCCTTTTAATCAGTTGGTTCACGTAACCGAACAGATTCCACATTGACCGACGCTGCTGATAACAGTCCAGCCATGTGTTTGCTGTAACATGGCAGAGCAGATGACAGTTTGTGTGTGTGTCTGTGTGTCTGTACTCTACCTCTATTCACTCTAATCACTTAATCTGGTCC